ACAAGGTGCTTCTAACTTTTAAGTCTGTACATGAAACCCTAGTGTGTGACCATTCAAATGAAAGCTATTGAGCAGTACTTTCATGTGGTACCGTTTACTATGCTATACAAGGTGGTTCTAACTTTTAAGTCTGTGGATGAAGCCCCAGTGTGTGACCATTCAAATGAAAGCTATTCTGCAGTGTTTCCACATGAAATGGTTTATTTTGCTTTCTTTGTTTGTACATCAAACGGAAGTGAGAGCATTTAAATAAAATTTTATATGCAGCATGTAAATGTGGCACTGTTTGTTACCCTGAACAAATAACATGGATGGAATTAACTTTCTTTCTTACATGTGAGCCGTACAGTAACCATCTCAAATTGAAATGAAAGCCATCTAGCAACATTTCCTAGTGGTTCTATTTATCTTTTCGACATATTTTTGCAAGTGGAAGTGTTAGAAAAGTTGACAAACTTGTATTGTCTCACCTGGTCTCGGGTTTGTAGTAAAACAACACTGGCATCACAACAAAAATAAGAGCCCACCATCTATACCATGGCTCCTCCCAGTCTTCCCACTGTCTCTTCTCTCCTGGTTTTAGAGGCTGTCAACAGAGGATTAAAAATCATGTAACAAAGAAACAAACAAACAGAGAAAGAAAGGGATATAATATATGCACATTATCCAACTAGACTTTTTATAATTTTTGTCCACACCATTTCCTATGTTTTCCAAACTAAAGCCCTGGCCAAACGGACTCACAAGTATACTCAAGTTGAAAACTTGAGTCTACTTGCAACTCCGTTTCGCCAGGCCTTGTGTGTACTTGCGATGACTTGCGATGACTTGCACTCACTTTGATCGAGATCAAGTCAATGAAAGTTTTTCACCATTGTGCGGTTCCAGAAAATGTCCATACTCTGCCCACAGAAGGGATGGAATTTCCTGGGGGGTGGGGGGTTCTATGAGACCAAAAAATTTTATGAAATGTATGAAGCTTAACTGGAATTTCCAGAGGGGTGGAGAGGTGTTAGAAAAAAATCCCTTCCCTGGGGGAGGTATGGATATTTTCTGGAACTACACATTTGGCCACACAACCCAAGTCAACACAAGTTAAGAGACATCCATTAACCTTTAGAGTGTGTACACATGACATCATCATATTCTCAAATCCAAAACTAAAGAGCCACTGAAGGTCTTATCCTCATCAGGCATAAGGGTACTAAATTTATATCTGTTTACAATTTTCCAGCTCAATAGGGTCTTTCATTTGGAAACCAGCGCATATTAAATGTCAGAGTTATGGCAGTGCGTGACATGAAGCCAAGATCACATTTGTCAACAAATATACACTTATCTCACGATTTTTAGCCATTTTAGGAGTTAAAGCACTAGGAAAAGTACTTGTGTAAATGCTTTTTGGTTCGGTTCAGATAATCAGTTGTCTAGATAGCCAAAGTAAGTTCCAGATGTTTACACTATTTTCCAGCTGCCATGTTAGAGGACTAAGGAGGTCCTCCAACATGGTGGCTCCATACTAGGCTCTATAATTTTGCACCGAACATTTCAACAAATATATCAACTTTGGGACAACACACACACCTTAAACTTGAAGAACTGTCTTCTTTCTTTATCGTCTATAATATCACAATTTCTTGGCTTCATCCACTGAATGGTTTTTGATTCTAGTTTTTGTGTGACAATGCATGCACTCTATTATTGGCCAATAGGAAACACACAATGTGTCTGCCAGAATATGTCTGCCCTTGTCTGTTTGTTTGTTTCTTTTTGTTCTTTTTGCCGACTTGCATGCACATGTACTAGCAAGGAAACTTGCGAGTCCATTTGGCCACCCAACGCAAGTTTCTATGCAAGTTCAACTGGCAGCTACTTGCAACTACTACATTTCCAAGTCTGTTTGGCCAGGGCTTAATGATAGATGTAGCAAGTTCACACCAATTTCACTTGCCTGCTGACTTAAAGCCTAGACAAAATAACAGTCTCCTCGGGTATATACATATCAGAAATTGTGAAGTACAGCATTTGGGTTTTTCGAAAGTCGTTTAAAGCACACCCACAAAAAAAAAGTGTGTTCAGAAGAGATAGTTTGAGACCAGGAGTAGCTTTTGTTTAGCAACAGATTCTCTTGCTGTACAAATTACATGTATACATGTACAGTGTATGTACCCCTAAAACTACCACAGCCTGAG